GCTACTTCAGACAAAGTGTGAGTTCTCATGTATGTTTCTCCCCCATCATGAATCACTTCTAACAAAACAGTTGTACATTACACAGCAGAAGAGAAGAAGAAACAGGCAAAAAGGCAAAAGCTTCAGACAAAAGTGTGAGTGCTCATGTATGTTGCTCTCCCCCCATCATGAATAACTCTCTAACAAAACAGTTGTACATTACACAGGAGGAGAGAAGAAGAAACAGACAGAAAAGGCAAATGCAAACAAAAGACCAAGAATGTGAGTCTTCTTTTCGTTTCCTAATTACCCGAAAGTAATATTTACCCCCTTTGTTTTGTGCCTAACATACACGCCTTCTCTCTCTGCTTTTTTATTCCAGAAAAGGCTCATTCAGATAACCCGAGCAAAAAATTAGCTACCAAGAATCAAAGGTAAGTCAAAAATGGATACTGTTCCAGCATGATAAGATGAGTTGAGCTAAGACATCTTTAATTGTGTTGTGCTATGCTTTCACCTTCTCAGAAAAACGAAGAAACCCAGGTGGAGGTAATGACACAGACAGCAGAGAAAAAAGCAGGAGTCTACTCTCGTCCCCTCACTTATGTTCTTTGCTACAGGTTCATTCCAGGGCGCAGCAGGAGTCGATGGAGGAGGAATTGTCGTTGGCTCAGATGTAGAGATTAAGACGAGTTCGGTTTGAAAGAGCAGTTTGTTAGCTTTGGTACTACGGACATGATGATGATCACGTCGGCATTGAATCCCTCAGTGAGCTTACACAGCACGTCAGCACTACAGAGGACCTCACCTTCAAACTCCCTTGGATTACTTCAAGAAACTCAGTGAGGTCAGCAAGCGTCCCAACAAGAAAGCCAAAGATTGCGTGGTAGGAGATGTTGCAAGTATAGATCAGGGAGGGGAGCATCGATGTAATTAATCTCTCCTAGGTTGGAAAGAGACCATTTCAAGGAGGTGATGCAGCTAGTGAAGATTTGGAACTTTGCATGTTCCCAGTTGACTGACCTTTTTGATGACACACAAACTGTGGCGACCTTGAAGCCGGAGGACAAGCGACATTTCGAAAAAAAGTGGCCGTCCTTGGATTGAAAGCACGTTCGAGCTCTTCCAGGTCATTGATACTACAGCCCCCCCCCCTTCAAAAACCTTCTTTTATTTGTGAACATGAAGCCCCTCTGTTTTTCCCATCCCCCCGGGCCATCTCCATTCTACCCCAAAAGCCCTAGAAAACCAGGTATTTACCCCACTATTGACCCTTAAATATTACCCAACCTACGATTCTTTCCACAAATAGTAATAAAATTCCGTAGAATCCTCTATTTTATCCCCCAACCCCCCTAAACGCTCTTTTTTTGCAACGGTTTTATAGATTGTGAATGAAAGCACGACTCTCTTGGGCAGTTATTTCATTCCCGTTCCTTGTGGGAGTTGAACTTGACAGGATGTTCTTCGAAGTCAACAGGGTCACGTCATCACTGTGACTGTGCTTTTGAATTATGCTGGTTTTGGTGGGACTAGTCGATCTGAATCGAATAGGTTCGAATTCGATTTGATTTAGAGTGTGGGTTAATGTATTCCTCGACATCATAATGGGGTCTCGTTTTAGAGTCTGGGTTAATGAGACAGTTAATGGGGGTTCTCGTTTTGCAGGAGAGACGTTAGGGCTTAGGTCCAAAGTGTGCCGTGGCATTAAATGTCAATGATGTCATCGCAGCCTTGAGATTTCAAAAAGAGACTGGCTATTTATTTGCTGCTAGTTTCGTCACGCCTGCCTGGTATCCATCTCTAAGTAATTGTCAAGCTGCAAAATAATTGCTCCAGAAAACCTTCTGCCAAACAATGAATCGCTCTGCGAGCCATTCTGTGTAGTTTTCAGGTGCTTTTGGCAGAAAAAAAGTCATCTGCCAGTGACAAACACCCTCCCGGCAGAAAAAAACACCTCCCGAGAAAAAAACACCTCCGGCAGAAAAAGCCATGCCGGCTTTCGGAACTGCAGAGTTCGAGGGCTTCTGCAGAGTGCACGCCAGCCTGCTTCAGGAAAAAAAGTGTTTCTGCGACTCAAAAAGGGCGTTTCTGCAGAGTTTTTCATTCCCAGTGAGTGCGGCCCCTTGTCGTCAACGAGGCATTCCAAGATCACTTTCTCGACCGAAAAAGGAACCGTGTTCGGAGGATGGTATGGGTTGCCGTCACTGTCAAAGATGGACATGGTGATGGGTGCAGGGCATGTGCTAATTTTCTCATCAGCAATGCGCAGCGCCTGGCCTTGAATGGCAGTGTAGTGCATGTGCTTGCCTTGCAAATAGATGGGATCTACGCCCGGAATCTCGCTGGGAAGCAGTCTCCATGGAATGACCTCGCGGGGTAACCCTTCCTCCAAGGCGTCAGGCCCAAGAAACATGAATGCGTTGAAGAGGAAGTCCAAATAGTCCTGGAACGAGAGTTGGATGAGGAAGATGGACACGAAGTGGTCCACGGCATTCTGGTAACGTCCGTAGTGGTACTCGATGATCTTGTTGCGAGCATCGACGTAGACTTGAATCTTCGTACAGTTAGGAACCAAGACTGTTTCCAGACCGCAGAAGCCATCAGCAATCGAGGGATCCAAGGCATCGAGACAAGTCACGCTGGCGAGGTCGACAGAGTCATCGGTCTTGGTAGAGGCGACGGTCTTGGTGGAAGCATTGGAGTCGGTCTTGGCGGAAGGTTTGGAGTCGGTCTTCTTGGCGGAAGGTTTGGAGTCGGCCATGGTGGAATCAATGGGATAAAGAGATAGAGCCGAAAGATCAAAGACGCGAAGAGGAGAGTTGCTGTTGTTCATGGTAAATTTCGGCAGAGTTTCTTCTAGAGAGGCTGATTGTCGAAATTGTGAGTCAAACTGAAGCTTCGATTCGAGCCTCGAAGTGTCGAAGCTTCGAAGTTTCGAGCAAATCTTTGAGTCGCGTCGATACCCGTGTGCTACCAATACTTTGTTGCGCATTCCGTGATTCTATCAAGTCTTTGCCTTTAAAGACGGAAGAGGAAAGTACGATTGAATGGTTCTCCGATTGGTTTGGCCATAATCAAGCCATAAAGTAAGCATCGATTGCATGCGTCTCCGATTGGTTTGGCCATAATCAAGCATAAAGTAGCATCGATTGCATGCGTCTCCAATTGTTGGCCCTTATTCAAGCAATACGAATCCCTCTCCAATTGAGTAAAGATATCAGAATGAAAGTGTGATACATTGCCAATCTTTCAAAGAGTGCCTTGCCAAATCGTCTCTTTGTGTTCGATGAAGGATCGAGGTTCCGAATCTTTATAGCGAGTTCAAAATTTCGAAAGGATACTTTGACTACCGTATAATAAGGCTTTTAATGATGTCCTTTAAATCTATAGCTCGAATCGTGCCTCCGATCTCAACGGAAATTGCTTCGAAATTTGTTGAAGCTTCGAAGCTTCGACTTGCTTTCGACCAAAAAGCAAGGCTAGCACGCACCAATGCACTATATTTTCAACCGTGGAACCCATCCATGCTATCGACCAAACCAAACCAAACCAAACAAATCGACCATGGCAATGACACTATCAAGCCGTCGCCTCCTACCAACCCTCTCTAGATCTGCGCTCCTTCTCCTCTTCTCTGGCATGCACACGGTCGACAATGGTCAGTTCCAGTACCGAGGGAAACTCATCTTTCATTTCCGGGAGTCCAAGGATGTCTTCGATGGATGTCACCTTTTGTTGCTTCTTCCTTTGATCTGCTAACTCCTTCTTTGCTTTTGTTTTCTCCGATAGTTTCGGGCTCTCTTCTTCTTGATATCCTTCTGCGTGGCTTTGACGGCGTCATCTTTCAGGTTGGCTTCGAATTTCATTTCGGCATGCATTCTCTTGTCCTTCGTGCTGCCATTGATCGGAACCTGTAACCTATCCTCTTTCCAATCTGATGAGCAACGTCTATCTTCGACTCGTGGTGAAACTTCATTCCTCTGAAGCGCTCCAGATCTTCGACTAGGTGTGCAAGCATGTGGATTTTGGGAGGAAGCGTCCTTGACATCTTTCTGAAAAGACGCACTACCGTGGCACCAAGACATCTCGAATCGAAGCCATCTCACTGTCTGTGATTGTCCCATACGGTTGGTAGGAGTAGTGTGAGAGTATGCCCATGTATTGGAGGATCCGCTTGAACTCATTGCAATACTTTTGAATCTCGGCATCGTCACAACCTCTGGCTCTCTTGTCTTGTGGAATCTGTTGGAGCAATTCCACGATGGAGTCCATCACCTGATATGCACCATGCAACATCTTCCTGCAGTAATTGCCTACCATGGCTCCACCTGCCAGCTCGACCGGTGGATGTTGAAAAGATTGGCCATTTCTTCATCGAGTCTTTGTCGAATCTCCTGGCTGAGCGGCACCGTATTCCGAATCTTTTTCTAGCCTCCTCATTTCGGCAGC